TGCAGTCTCTGGCTAGCAGGGTAATTTTTAGGTTAATTCTTAGGTCCTACCACCACTCGGGAATCTCCAAGCTGTCTGTGCCATCAGAATCACTCAGGATCGCTGCCAGACCGCAACTCCATCTGTTTCCTTTTTTGGTAATTTCATGCAAATTCTTCTGCTAGTTGGGGTTTAGTCCACTTCTATATCCTTCTCTTCAAGGCTCAGGGGTCCAGAATTATCTTCTGTGTCTGTGTTAATTGGTTTCCCTTTTCTTTGTTGAAGAGGGTCTGTGCCATCTGTCTGCCTAGTCCACCATCTTGGATCCTCTCCTCTCTTTAAAATTTTCTGTTCAGCTCTTTTCTTTTGTCATTCCATTTGCTTTAACTACTCTCCATTCAACAGTCTCTTCTGACATCCATTTTGGACTTTTCTTCCTTTCCTATCTTTTTAATGACCTTTTGCTTTCTTCATGTATGATGTTCTTGATATCCTCTCCACAATTTGTCTGGTTTTCAGTCATTGGTGTTCAATGAGGCAAATCTATTCTTCAGATGGTCTCTAAATTCAAGTAGGATATAATCAAGGTCATATTTTGGCTCTCACAGACTTCTTTTAATTGTCTTCAGCTTCAACTTGAACATGCATATGACTAGTTGATGGTCTGTTCCACAATCAGCTCCTGGCCGTGTTTTGGCTGAAGCTTTTGAGCTTCTCCATGGCATCTTTCCACAGATGTAACCAATTTGATTCCTGCGTATTCCACCTGGCAAAGTCCATGTGCACAGCCACCATTTATATTGTTTAAAAAATGTACTTGCAATGAGGAAGTCGTTGGTCTTGCAAAATTCTATCATGCAATCTCCAACATTATTTTAGGCCATATCTTCCAACTGCTATTGATACTTTTTTTCCAACTTTTACATTCTACTCACCAGTAATAATCAACCCATCTTAATTGCATGTTTTGTCAATTTCAGACTGCAGAAGTCTGTTAAAATCAATTTCCTCATCTTTGACTCTGGTGGTTGGTGTGTAAATTTGAGTAACAGCAGTATTAACTGGTCTTCTTTATGTTGTTGTTATTGTTGTGTGCCAACAAGTCAGATCTGACTCACAGCAACCCCTCCTTGGGTTTCCGAGGCAGTATCACCATGGAAGTAGATTGCCCAACCTTCTTCCAAGGAGTGGCTGGTGGGTTTGAACTGCCAGCCTTCTGGTGTTAGCAGTCAAGTGCCTTAGGCACTATGCTACCAGAGCTCCTGGGCTTCCTTATAGGCATATGGGTATTATCCTATCACTGACAACACTGTACTTCGGGATATATCTTAAAACATTTCTTGTGATGAACACTAAGCCATTCCTCTTTAATTTGCCATTCCCGGCATAGTAGATCTTATGGTTATCTAATTCAAAATGGCCAACACTACTCCATTCCAGCTCACTAATGCCTAGGATACTGATCTTTATCTGTTCCATTTCATTTTTGACAATTTTCAGTTTTCCTAGATTCATACTTTGTGCATTCCATGTTCTGATTTTTGACTGATGTTTGCAGCTGTTTCTTCCCATTTTGAGTCATGCCACATCAGCAAATGGAGGTCCCAAAAGCTTTACTTTATCCACATCATTAAGGTCGACTCTACTTTGAGGAGGTAGTTCCTCCCTAGTAGTACATTAAGTCCCTTCAGACCTTAGGGACTCATCTAGTAGCACTATCAGGGCTATTCATAAAGTTTCCAGTAACATATCAGACAGTGTTTCACTGCTATTCATAAGGTTTTCACTGGCTAATTCTTTGAGAAGTGGATGGTCCCTTCCTTCTTCCGAATCTGTCTTAATCTGGAAACTGCACTGAAACCTGTCCACCATGGGAGATCCTGCTGTTATCTGAAATATTGGTGACATAGCCTCCAGCTTCACAGCAACATGCAAGCCACCACAGTACGACAAAGAGACAGATGAGTGGTGGTAATATCTAATATTTAGTAAGCATATTATCCTAAGTATTAATTCTATTTCTTTTATTTTTTATAGCAAGCCAAATAGATAAATCCTATTGTCTCCATCCTACAGATGAAGAAACTGAAATTAAAAGAGCTTAATATCTTGCCCAAGGAATCACAGAACTACCAAATGACAGATCCAGTATTCAAACCCAAACAATTTCCAAGAGAAAAAGGAAAGGGGACACATAAGCTCTAAAGCATGTCTTGTCCCCATCTTAGGTTGCTATGCTAGATATCAGAAAATCTTGAGCCTTTTTTGAGTTAGGCCAGTGCCTGCTTAAGGAGCCTGCTCCCTCTACCCTCTCTGACCAAAATTAGTTCACTAGAGTCAAAGGTACCTCTTGAGAAGGTCAGTTGACCCCAAGCTGCCACATCTTTATATGAAAAGAAAAACAGAAGAACTTGTCTAAATCTTTCTCTCTTTCCAAAATTCTTCAACAGAACTCACCACTAATGCATTTCTTCATGGCCAGAAACCTAACACTGATCAATTAGATATTAAACGAAGACTATAAATTTATTTTATAGCACTACCGGTGATTTCAAATCCACCAGCCACTCCTCAGAAGGAAGATGGGGCAATCTACTTCCGTAGTGATACTGCCTCGGAAACCCAAGGAGGGGTCGCTATGAGTCGGCTCCGATTCGATGGCACATAACAACAACAACAACAAAACAACCAGTGATTTAACACAAGAGTCAGAATCAAATTATGTGCAGACTGCAATAACAACTGTGGAGATGTATTCTCTGACTAAACAAATACATACATTTTTTTTTATTTGAAGAATTATTCTTTAATAAATATGTTACATTTAGCAGTACAAAAAGAAAAAAATACGTATTTATAAAGAGCAAAGGCAGTGAGACTGTTTCTCTAGCTTTAACTGATAGTAAAAGGAATATAGAAATATATAAACCACTTTTAGAAAGCCATATAAGCTACCTTCTTAAACAAGTAAGTGAACATATTCAATGTCTACTGAGGTGCTATGTTCAAGACAATATAAGTAAAAAAATAAGTATCAGGGTCCCGGATTTACAATACTGTATCTTTTCACTGATTTGTTCATCCGCTTAATTTTCTTCCTTAAGACTTGGTGACCTTGTTTTGAAACATACCTAAAATATCTACAACCTAAAAAACAAAATAAACAAAAGGAGTTTTAATACTTGTCATCAAATTCTTCAAGTATTTTCAAATTTTGTGTCAACTGTGGCATACTAATGATTATAAAGACAGACTGATTTTTATTATCTCTACTAATATATCCTATGTAATCCAAGATCTGTCACCAATGAAATGTATTGCTTCCTGCATACAAACATGTTCCTGATAAAATTAATCTGATCATAATTAAAACATATATTTCAGCTTGTTTTTTATCCTGCCCCCAAAACTCCAACTACAGTGAATGTTTTCTCCCAGAGCAATTACTATGCAGTGTTAGCTTGTAAATTAGCCAAAAGGGTAACTATACAAATATTAAAGTTCTCCATAGAAAATCCTTGTGGGAAGAATCAGAATAAATGAATCATAGGTTGGAAAAGACCAAAGGTCATCTATTCATTCTAATCACCTAACAAGCAATTAGATTGTGATGAGGCAGCTCTGAAAAGGAGACCTAATGCTCATTTTAAGTTCTACATGCTTTTCAGTCTTATGACTTCTTCAGTCTTAAGAGACCCATTTATCGAATATTTCAGAGAAACAAATCAAATTTCCATAAGAAAAATGTAAAGTGGATATTTTAAGTAACAGGATTTTCTATATTCAATAAATTAATAATGAAACCATAAATCACACATGAAAAATTAATTTCATTATAGTCTCATCTTTTCTAGGAAGTTGCTAGGATGTGTATGTACCTACGGTAACCATTTTATTATCCTTGAAAACAGTATGTCAGAATTGCCTTATTTAATTAGCTGAGAAGAACTAGTTTCTATGATACCACTTAAATAATTTGTTTTTCTAAGCTAATCATACTACTTCAGCAAAAAAGGTGAAGGAGATTTCTCCTTCCCCCTAAGATATAGAAAGCTAGAAAGAATTTTGCTCCCATGCTGTTTTGGTTACCTAGTGCCATTCTAACAGAAATACCACAAGTGGGATTGCTTGAAAAAACAGGAATTTATTCTCTTACAGTTTTGGAGGCTTTAAGTTCAAGTTCAAAGTGCCAGGCTCTAGGGGCTGGGTCAAAGCCCCTCAACCTTGGGCTTCAGCTCTGCCTCCTGCTCCCAGTCCATTGAAGCTAGAGGCTTTTCTTCACTCAGACAGCTGCTGGCTGCTGAGGCCTACAAGCCCAATGTTGACAAGTAAAAAGGCACAATCCCAATGTTACCAGACCACATGGCAGGACACTTATTCAAGTCTAGACGAAGTCCCCAAATCGGCAGGGCATGGCAGGCTATTGAACAATGACTTGGCTACATGCAGGGTTTAAGCATGCCAAAAGGTTAGAGACCATTCCTAAAACTGATTCTTATATGCGGGAAGCAGACTACATCCCTAAAGCAGCTACTCAGCTGCTTGTGGTAGATCCCACCATGGAGCTGGTTGCGTCTCATCATGGGGAATAACTACCACCAGCTGCCCAGCCACTCAACCAGGCCCAGCCAAGCTGACACACAACTTTAACTACCATACATGCTAAGAACAAGAAAAAGCCAAATAAAGTACAAAATCCTAATTCCTCTTAAACCCACTGGAGAGCTGAAGTCACAGGGCAACCAGGTAGCCTGAATTCCAAGGAGTTGAGGCCCTTCCAAGGAGAAAAGGGATACAGAGACTGGCTTATCGATAGCAGAATATGGAAAGAGGAGGCAGCCACCATATAAATAGCTCCTACCCTAAGCACGAAACAACAGCAGACCACAACCAGGAGACTCTGAATCCTACAATGTAGCAATGGTAACCAGAGCAACAACTCCAACTCAGCTAAACTCTGGAACAGACTGATTCAACCTTCACACTGCCACCCTGATAGCAGAAGAGATGGCCATTTTCAGACATAACTATGTCTGAAATTCACATAAAACTTCAGAACTTAAAAAGCATTTTGACATTATGTTACTTGATGTTCAAACAATCTGGTATGCAAATCAGGCCTGGTGATAGATATAATGACCATTTCAGAGAAGGCTCACAGAGGTTACGTAGCAAATAAATGACAGCACTGGAAAATGAACTGAGGTCTTCTAACTCTGGTCAAACACTGTATTAGATACCCCTGTGTCTAATAAAATAATAGAAAATCATAGTCCAAATCACATTTCTATCTCTTTTCATGAACATACTAGTGAAAAAGTTTTAAGTTATTTTATTTTTTAACTCCTTTTCCTCTCACAATAGCTAACTTGGTAACTATTACAGATTGACCATTTTCCCAAAAAACTACTGTGGTAAATGCTAGCTTCTATGCTTGTGGTTGGGAGTTCTGGTAGCATAGTGGTTAAGACGCTTGCCTGCTAACCAGACGGCTGGCGGTTCAAACCCACCAGCCACTCCTCGGAAGGAAGGTTGGGCAATCC